CACATGTTTTCAGCAGATATGAAAGCAGAAGATTCTGATCTCTTGTATGGATATTGCTTATACTTGGCTTGTTGTATGTTGCTAAAAATGTTGCCAAGCCTTGAGCTTGAGCAACTTCTCCATCCATAATAATCACATGGCAATTTGCATCTGGATAAAAGGGCCGGAGCTTGAGTGGTGAACCAGTAACAGATTGGATAGCATCAGCAAGTTCTTGGAAGAGTTGGGCAAATGCAGCTGCTGATTTTCGATTACAGTAAAGATTTGCAAATGTGATTCCTAAGTCTATCAGTTGGCAGGAAAAGTATCTGTATGGGTTGCATAAACAAACTTTTCTTGAATCTTTCTGAATACCCTGCTACTACCCACTCATCCATATCTCCATCTACTCTCTTGAAGGTGTAATCAATGGCAAGGGAGAGAACATTGTGAATAACATATGCAAGCTGTGTGTTGAGTGTGACCACAACCCTATAGTCTGCTTTGCTGATAGCTGCATGAATATAAGGTTTTGTAATGGGAAGCAATCTTTCATGCTTTTCAAGGTAGTTGAGCACTCCTGCTACTGGTCAGACTAAGGAATCAAATTTGAAATTTTATACCCTCAAATCCTTTCCCAACAGGAAATTCTTTCTTTTGATCGTGGGATCAAGGAGACTTGTAGGATCAATATTGGATCAAATATGTCGCTGGAGCACTGTTATATATTTTAGTTGTGCCTAAGATTTCCCTTTTGACACAGATTCACGCTGTAAATCCTGCAAGACAGCTGGCATCAAATGGGGTCGGAAATTACAGGCTCTTGACAGGCTCCCATCATTCATATGTTATTTCTGTCAATCATTACTCACTGTGTGGCTTCGCGATCCCCAGAGCTGTCAACACCAATCCTATGATTACAGGACTCAGTCCTATGTCTACAGGACTCAGTCCTACTTGTGATGGGCCCAGTCCTACTCCATAGGACTCCCCGAGTCCTACTCCTACTCTTCTTGCCATTCCTCGTTGCACACTGGTGCACCGACAATGCCACAGCTGGAGCGATGCCCAGAACGAGTGATGCCGCTCGCCACAGCCACATTTCCGCGGCCAGGCTGCACAGTGGACAGCGCTGAATATCAGGGCGACCAGCAGCGAGATGCTGGGGGTGTACCGCTCGTGGTCGTCCGAGCCCGTTGCGAAATGGAAGGTGAGCACCGCCTCCGCGTGATGGTAGTCCCTGCGCACGTCTGAGACCCCGAACAGCGCCGAGAAGCGCTCGCGGAGGGGACGTTTCTCGCCCGTGTCGGACCGCTCCGGTTCCTGGCCCCGGCCCGGGTCACCGGCGTAGATTCTGACGTCCTCTTCAAGCGGTGGCAGGACGATTGGCGCCCGGACATCCAGCGGTTTTTTGGGCCCTGGCAATGTTCCAGGCGTACCTGGGGATTCCATTGATCAAATAACAGTCGTAAGAGAGATGCCATGATGCATCAAGGTCTCTCGTACCGACCTGCTCCGATGCATCATGGCATCTCTCTCAAGCCAGCTAGGACTTCCCATCAATGCTGTCGCCCGCGCGACCGCCCCCGCCTTCCCGCCCATCGGCTCCCGCTTCCCGCCCCGTCGCTGATGTCAATCTATATGACATAGTGCAGATCACGTATGCCACACCGCCGGATGCTCTGTCCCGCCCCGCCGCCGCCTGCCCGCCGCTGCCCGCCCGCCGCTGCCCGCCCCGCCGCTGCCCGCCCGCCCGCTGCCCCCCCGCCGTTCCCCGCCCGCCGTTCCCCGCCTGCCGCTCTGCCTCACCAGCTACTTACGTGCCAGGAGGCCGCGGGACTGGCCATGCCCCGCGCGCTCACGGCCGTCCGTTTGCACACTGTGGGTGTCAGTCAATGCTGCAACACGACGGCGCGTATCCCACCATGCTCACCTGGGCGGATAGTGCTTGTCGACCAGCCGGTCCAGCCTGGCCTACGGCGCTCCGGGGTCAATAGGTCACCTTAATTAAACGGTTAAACCCTCACCGCCGCAATGCGCTCGTGTCCCACAGCTACAGGTCCCACGCTGCTGCTTGGCAATCGGATGAAGATCTGCAGATTTGCGATGACAGCCGCCGTTGATCATGGCTCGGTGTCGATGACGCCGCGCTGATGACACAGCATCGGGGCACGGTAGACCCACAATAATGACTTCAATTGACCAAAATGGAAATTTATACTATCTGTGTCTGATAAGCAGCCCCCACCTCTGTACAAGTTTCCTAAGGAAAATCTGCAAGTTTTGTAAGAACTTGCATAAAGTTGCTAAAGTACTTGTGCATACCAATACGAAATCCGAACCACAGTTTGAGTACTTTATGTATTACTACTACCACCAATGTATGTGTATACACATTGATAAGTAGGACCAGGGACCTAATGCCAGTGCCCTATCCCCAGTGGGTTGTCTGAGATAGAGTTGAACCGGAGCTGCCTGTGCCCACAGCCTCAGCACAGGCCACAATGAAAGTCCAGCACAATCTGCACGAGTAGTGGTCTTCTGGCCTTGGCTTGGCCTGAAAGCCATGGCTTTGGCCCGGCTTTCCTTAGCTTTGGCCTAGCAAAACCTCAGGCCAGGCCAACTGAGCTGGCTTTGGCCTGGCTTTAGCTTGGCTTTGGCCCAGGCCATGGCCTCGGCTGAGTTTGATCCGGTACTGTTTGACAGATGTTGGCATCAGAAACAATATTAAATATGTGATCTAGTTCAAAGACTGGTAAGAAGGCGAACTGTAGAGCATCTATAAAGCCTTTAGATACTAGCAATGACCCTTCTTGGCTAACATATCACTAGATAATTTCCTTTTTGGGTAGTTAAATCAGCTATCAATGATCATAATGAAAGCCATTGGCTTTTGGCCTGGCTTTGGCTTTCTAAACCCTTAAGCCAGGCCAAAGCCAACACAGGCCAAGATTTCTGGCTTGGCTTTGGCCCTGGTACCAAAGCCAAAAAGCCATGGCTTTTTGGCCTGAAGCCAAAGCCAGCAGACCACTATTAGTGGTCTTCTGGCCTTGGCTTGGCCTGAAAGCCATGGCTTTGGCCCGGCTTTCCTTAGCTTTGGCCTAGCAAAACCTCAGGCCAGGCCAACTGAGCTGGCTTTGGCCTGGCTTTAGCTTGGCTTTGGCCCAGGCCATGGCCTCGGCTGAGTTTGATCCGGTACTGTTTGACAGATGTTGGCATCAGAAACAATATTAAATATGTGATCTAGTTCAAAGACTGGTAAGAAGGCGAACTGTAGAGCATCTATAAAGCCTTTAGATACTAGCAATGACCCTTCTTGGCTAACATATCACTAGATAATTTCCTTTTTGGGTAGTTAAATCAGCTATCAATGATCATAATGAAAGCCATTGGCTTTTGGCCTGGCTTTGGCTTTCTAAACCCTTAAGCCAGGCCAAAGCCAACACAGGCCAAGATTTCTGGCTTGGCTTTGGCCCTGGTACCAAAGCCAAAAAGCCATGGCTTTTTGGCCTGAAGCCAAAGCCAGCAGACCACTAGCTGCCATTACAGCCACGGGAGGCCCGGGAAGGTCCGGAAGGTGTGCAGAGGTGGAACGGCGCCGTCCTCTGCCCTGCCTTTGAATGCGGGTGAAACCTGGCGCATAGCCATGCGAATAGTCGTCATATATTATGCATTTACCCGTGGTAGCAACGTGGGTGGGGGCCGTCGTGGGCCTGAACGGGCAGTACCCCGGGCAGGGCTGGGCGTCACAAATCCAGTATTTATACCTGTCCATCACATGAAACCGCACAAATAGACATTGCTCGTTCGAAGATAATCGCATACCTACCCAGTTGAATTTTTTCAGAATTTTCTTAAATTATTTTAAATGTGTTGTGCTCGTCGTTGATGGCAATGGCGACGTATGTTGATCACTGTGATGGATGCTGACATCGAATATATGATGCTGCGATCACCATGTTGATGCAGCATCGTTAGGCTGGGAAGCACAGGCACCATGATGCATCATGGGCAGGTCAGAGCTACAGAGCTTGATTCATCAATCCTCTTCTCTTATGAGAGGGATTGATGCATAAAAGCCCCAGGTTGGGTACCTTCACAACGACTACACCGACTTCGATGGGGAGAACAGCCGTTGGCAATTTCGGTCAAGCTTACGGACCATCGCAGCTTCCTTAACGGCGCCCATACACCGTTACTATAACTCCCTGCCCCCCTCTTATTCCTCCCCCGCCCTCCTCGTCCACGCCTGCACTCTCCGCATGCAATCGGTGTCGACTTCCCAAAATGGCCAAGTCACGTGCTCGCCCGCCGACCGAAAGGCGGCCAAATATCTCGCACAAGGCGGCAGTTGGAGCTCTATGGACTGTATCTCCGCGTGCCACATATCTTGCCCCTCCTACTCAATTCTTGTTGTCCCGCCATCTGAGGGGGAAGGTCGCCGCTGAGCACATTTTCTTCTGCAGCCATATGGGAGGCATGGGCGACGTTTCTTCGTCGAACGGGATGATCAGTGTTACGAATGGAAACAGCGTAGTATGATAATAATGTCATTGATAATTACCTCCTCAAGGTACACGGGCGAGCTCCTTCAAGTTCCAGCGCGTTTTGGGTCCCCACAGGATTCAGTCGGTGAGTCAAGCAGGGTACCAGTGACGCGCGCGTTCGTGTGTAGCCGGAGTAGGTAACAGCCGCAGTAGTCGCGAGTCGTGGTCCCTTGGGCAAAGGCGGGAGGGAAAGCAGTATGTCGTCGTCGCAGAAGACAAAGATCGGCCTGCCAGTGAGCATGTGACCACACCGATCTTCCTCTCCGCTTCCACCACGACGACTATAGCCGACTCCATCGCCTGCGACGACTGTAGCAGCGCCTGGGGGTCTGCCCGCGATAGACAGCGCCAGACGTAGTGCATCGTTGCAGGAGGCAAGCGGATGCCAGTGGGAGGGTTGGGAGTGCTGGTGGGAGCATGAGGTGCGTCTGCTGCCTTCGTCTTCTTGTCGACAAGGTCTCCTAGCTCACCAACATGCCCAGTACCTCCACACTAGCTTTCTGGAGCATATGCGCCCGCGCCTGGCTGCCCGCATTCCTATTTCGACCTCGCGCCATGATTGTCGTCGGTGTGCCTAACCACACATATCGGCGTGGAGACGATGGCGAGGCGAGCCCACTGCAGCCAGAGCGGACGGACAGTTTTGGACGCTTCGCGTTTGTGGGCTCAGGAACTCATGTGCGTGCCTCTCACTTCCGGTCAACAGCGTGGTCTTTATCTGCTTCACAGTCCCACTGCCCATATGCTTGCTCCTTCGTCATCTCAGTCACCACCTCCAGGCTCCTCGTGCCCTCCAAATGCAAACGGACCCGCCAAACCCTCCCATCCTGGCTCGCGCAGCATCTCCGCAAAGCGGCACAGACACTTCCGTCGACTCACTCGTCCGCGCTGTCCTGTCTGCAGGCAGCACGACCTCCTTGGCGCGCAAATAATGCTCGCCGTCAAGGTTGGAGACCTTCCCAACGCCTCTGCTCGTTTGCGGACGGTGCTTGTTTTCCATCCCCATTACACGCTCTTGGTGGACAAGACCAGCCCGCCCTCCCCTCCCTCGTGCTTTCCTTCTACTTTTGGCGGCGCCGGCATGTCACCCTGCGAAAATCACATACCCCGCCCAATATCACCCCTCCGAGTGTATCTAGCGTAGTACACCTCCACGCTCCTATCATGCGACTTCTTCTGTCAATTCGAGCCAGCAAAACCTCATCTTTCGCAACGAAATCATTTCCGCCTCAGCGTAACAGCGACTACACTTGTGGCCATGGGGCTGAATAGCCGAGCTTGCCGACTGACTTCAACGGAGAACAGTCGTGGACACTGCGGCCATCACAGCTTCTTCAACTTCGCCCACACACCTCAATTATAATCCCCTGCTCGCATTTCATCCCTTCCCCGTCCTCCCCGCCCATTTCTGCGCCGTCGGCATGCAATCGGTGCTGACTTCCCAAAATGGCAAGTCACGTGCCAACGCGCTGACCGAAAGGCAGGCCCATATCTCGCAGAACCCGGCAGCTGGCGCTCTATGGAGTGCATCTCCGTGTACCACATATCTTGCCCCTACTACTCAATTCTTGTTGTCCCGCCATTCGAGGGGGAAGGTCGCCGCTGAGCACATTTTCTTCTGCAGCCATATGGGAGGCATGGGCGACGTTTCTTCGTCGAACGGCGACATGAGCGTCGGGGAAGATGAGTGGAGCGATGGGCAAGGGTCGGGAGAGCCTGGGAGCTCGGGCTGAGAGGATTGGGGGAGGGACAGCTTTCGTCAGACGAGCGCCCCGGCCAGACGAGGATATCAGGAGCTGGGTTCCTTCTCCCCAGTCTTTCCTTTTTCCTCGATTCTCCTCGACTGCTGCCATTGGGTGTGTGGAGAAGGAGAAGGCTGTCGCGATTATACTTGCGGAATCCAAACGTATGTATCGGAACAAGTATGATTGTATCTTCGACGAGTGTATCTTCCATCGTGATTTATCGATCAAGATGCATTTTGTAGGGACATCCCGCTGTATACATGGTCTATTTTACATACATCTTGTCATCGTCCTCGTGATTTTATTTTCATATGTTGCTTATTAGTAGCCTAGATATAGATATACAGCGACAACGACTACCTGTCCGATAAGTACAAGGCCAGTCAATGAGAAGAAAGCTATCGGGAATGACGCCAGAAAGACGAGTGCATGGGTAGCAGCAAGAGCAGCCTGCACGCAACGCAAGACCGTCAATCTCCCGGCGCCGATCCCAGCTCGAGAGTCGAAACGACAGACATCTGTGCAATCCATCCAGCAACGAGGACGTTAACGGCCAGGCTGGCTTCAGCTATCGACAGCCACCATCTCCTCCTCGATTAGTGGCGCGTGTTCTGTGGGCTCAAACGGCGAGCGGAGCAGTTTGGCGCCGGTCGGGCGGGGAAGGGTAAGCAGGGCTGGGGTCGTGTGAGCTGGTGGGAAACGGAACTAGAAAAAAGAATCGTCAGTGCGATATAAGGGAGAAAACCCAGGATCCACGTACTTGCCAGGGCACTCGTACTCTATGGGCCCCAAAATCGGAGCATCCGTATAAGTGCCCCTCTCGAGATTGCTGATCGGTTTGCGAGAGCGGATCGGAGGGCAGATGTTGCCGGACAAGCCAGATGGCAGGAAAGCCGGCGTTGAAGCGCGTTCCGAGTCGGGCCACGCGGCACACTGGCACAGAGACTGGTCAGTGCAGCCAAATAAAGCCTTGAGTAAGAAATGCAGCATGGAAAACGATAATCGGGGTCTGCGAGTGGGCGCTGAGTTGCACAACGCACCGCAGAGCGCCCGTCTGAAATACCAGCACCCAGTGCGAGGCCAAGCACGATTCGGAGGCGCTTGCGAGCGCCACGAAGCTTGAACTACCAAGCATTTCGGGGACTGTTCACCTGCCTTTCGGAGATCGCGGAGGGAGTTTGCAGAGAGAGAAGCCGAGACGAGATGTTGCCAAGGTATTCGTTGCGCGTATATTGCGCGCCGTACTAGTTCTCCAAGAATTTTGCGCTCGGGAACTTGCAACCTTGCAGGGTTCAAGTCGGTGCAGGGAATGCCACAGAGCGCTTGGACCACCATATGTTTCGTCGTAGTCGTGCCGTCGAGCGCCATAGACCGCGGCGCTGAGGCGAGTGGTGGTCAAGACGAGAGAACGATTGACGCCCGCCGTCCCTTCTTCCGTTCCTCCACTACTTACTCCCCTTTGCCGCAATGCTCCCTCCGGCGCTTCCCTCGTGTCCACTACCCACGGCGCACGGAAGAGCGGCTCGGTGAGCTGCACGACCATCCGCATGGTGTCCCTGACGCCGACCGTTCTTCCTTCAGCCGAATCAGCACAAGTTGCTGTCGTCTGCGGCTGGGCGCTACCGCCACCATCGCCACTCGCGGACGCTGAGCAGCATTCTTTCACCCTCCATATCGATCCCCTGTCGTGCGCCAGCTCATCCTCCGCCAACTTCAAGTTCAGGATGAACATCCGCCCGCGAAAGTACGACTGCTTGTAGGCCGGTTTTCCAGAACGCGCTTGTTCTGCTGTGAGCGCCATCCTCACGCTCGACGGTGAGAGAAGAGGCGGCTTCGAATATGGAGAGTTGGTGGTGGGCGCGGGTGGACTTGTCGAGTATGGAGGATAGTGTTGCGCGTGTGGCGGGAGTATGGGAGCAGGAAACGTTGACACTGCCTGTCCTTCTTCCTACACGAGGAGAAGTCGACACCAGAAAGCTTGGAGCAAGCAAAAGACAGGCGCGGGTTTGGGGGTCATCCGGTCTAACGGAGGGGCATGAAGCGACGATGTTTGGCATGTAGTATCCGTTAGAAAGCTATATAACCACTCTTGAGCGAGTCTGAAACCGGAGTACTAGTCAGTGAATGCGAAAAGGCAAGATGGCCGTTGACGCACCGTTGGCCACCCATTCCACGTCCCGCGCGAGCTCGACGCGCTTTTCCAGACCATTACATCCATCCCAAGCCCCGTCCAGCGCGCCAGCACGAATGTCCAAGACAGTCCTGAGGAATGAGTGCCGCTTGAGCGGGGGTAAAGAGGGAAAAGAAAGACACACGTGGCGCCCTCCACACGTCCCTCCCAGTGGCCTGAGGCATCGAAAGCCATCTGCAGGGCCGTCGTAGCGATTCCAGGGCGGCCGCGCAAGGGCGGAGCGCGCGCCGTCTGCGGCTCATCGTGGTGCGGGGGAAAGATCGGCGAGGTCACATGGCCTCGGGCCGACCGCCGCTTCTCTCTTCTCCACCACGACCACGATCATGCAGTCTGCGGCGCTTTCCTCGCGCGCTCTCGCCTGCGCGGCGCGGCTCGGGGCTTTCAAGGGAGCCCGTCCGGAACCCATTTAAGGTGCGGCTGCTGAGCACCTTCGTGTTTCACCCGTGCGCTGTCGCTGACTGTCCCGCGCAGCGTCGGCCTGCTTCTCGATGTCCGACTGGGGCTCTGGTACTGGGGGATGGCCAGCGGGAAACCTTCCACGAGGGAACTAGTGCGTTATCGTTTCCCTCCGTGCTTGCTCGTTACTTACTTATTATACGTGCTCGCTAAGCGCCATTCCCCGGTATGCTGTCGAGCCGCCCCACACTTGCGCGGCACATCTCCTTCCCTCGAACCCGGTTCCTTCCCGCTTGTCAGAGCGAACAGAGTCCGAGTCCGCCTCGGCTTCCATCTTCACCTTCTCAGCAATACACGCATATTGCGCGGCTGGAAGCGCTCAATCGAGACGTGGAAGAAGCGGGCCATGATGGTCCTGACTAGGTCCTTTCGGATGCACAAGCTGCCTGCAACGGAGAGGGCCAGTGGCGCGCGCAAGAAGACGAGCGTTCTGGGGCTCGGACGAGTGGTGGAGGGGAGACGCTGGCATGTGGCCCGTGTCAGGCGCCAGAGACGAAGGGCAGCGGTAGCTTGGGACATTTTGTGAGTGTTTTCAGGCGCAACCCACATAGCTAACACTGTCAAGAAGTCCGCTCTCCAACTTGAAAGCTCAAACGTGAGAGGAAAGAAGGAGCGGCGGGTTACAAAGTGCGCGTTGCGACATATGGACATATGGGCCCGCTTTCGCTGGGAAGATGCGGGCCGTGTTGGTCGTGACTGACTCGATGCGCAAGCGACTAACGGCGCGGGAAAGAAGACCGGTGTTCTGGGACGAGTGGTGGAGGGGAAACACTGTCTACGGGCAAGTGGCCCGCGTCAGGTACGAGAGCCGAAGGACATTACACGGGCGGTTAACACAGCTAACACTGTTATCAGGTCCACGCAGCACGCTCCGGAACTCGAAACGCGGCGGCGAGAGGAAAGAAGCCGACCAGCGGCGGCCCTGTTGCAAAGTACGCGTTGCGCCAGTATATGGGCGAGGAGGCGAGTCAACTGAGACGGCCAGCTCGCTCGAGGCGCAGCTCGGTCGTCTCCCCTTCCCACACCTCCCACACTCAATCCAAACCGCACTCGCATTCGCCCTCTTGTTCCCTCTTGGCCAGCCATTTTCAAGTTTAGTCGCTATCGCCTGCAGGCGTGCGGGCCAGCAGCAAGCTCGAAATGAGTCCACCCGCTGCTCGTGTCATTACGCTGCTGCAGCCACGCCCACGTGTCAACACCCATGGACAGCGACGACCTCTCAGATCTCCGCCCTGCGGCTGCGGTCGGTCGCCGGCCGGAATCACGTGCCGATCCCGGCGAAAACGGCCTTTTCTTCTCCACGACCACATCCATGTGCCAAACCTGCCTCGTACCCACGCTGGCAGCTCTCCTGCCTGTAATCTACCCCTACCACTGGTTTACGGCCACTCTGTTCCTCGCCAACGTGGGCAACGGGCAAGACAGACGGGGGATGGGGACAGGTTTGTGGCAACGGCCATAGCTCTCCGCTCAATATCAGTTGCGCCATCGCACTGCACAACCTGACGATGACCACATCGACGGCAAAACTGTCAGCACCGACGACAAGGATGGCACCGGGTAGCGGAGCGGATGTCCTTCGCAACGAGATTGCCCGGCACCAGCTCTACGCGCACGATAGAGTAGCCGACATCGGGTCATTCTTCTCTGAAAAGCCACATACGACGCTACCTCATAGCCTGTCCATCTCCCCGCCGGCGCCCGCTCCAGAGGTTTCCCGCTTTGACTTCCTTTCGCCTCGCGGCCCTTGTTTTGCGCTTGTGATCGTTAAATATCTTGCATCCCGTCACTGAAGCCATCTCTGGCTTTTCTCGCCGCGGAATCACATCGCCGTCGTCAAACAAATCATCGTGCTCTCTTCCTCGCGCTGGAGGGCGCTCCGACGAAACAGATGGGCTTGCCATCTCTATCGCGTCAACAGCCCCGCAACTGGCTTAGTCGACCCCATGTCTATTCGGAAGCACATATCCCTCGCTCCACGGGTTCCAACCTCATTCTAGCTATCAAGACCGACTAGCCGTACCCTGTCCGTCGCTACCGTGACCGCCAGCTATGTGGGCCGCCGTTTGTCTGTTCGGGAGAGTTGCCTCCGAGTCTGGAGATGGCACTGCTCTTGTGCGGATTCAATTCGGATTGCTCGAGAGCCGCGAGGCGCACTGTCTTTGATTTGGTACGTGCCTTCTAGACCGACGATGGCCTCTGAAAGCTCATCGTTGTCTTCAGACTTGAGGGCATTTTAGGATCATAGCTCCAGCATATATGGTCAATTGTTACATTTTTTCTCGAATGACAGATTGTGCCAAATGTTCGTGTCCCTACAACGCAAAGCATAGCTTAACATACCCATCTCTAAGGGCATTCACATTGACAACATGTATAGAGCTGATATTCACGAAGTTGCGTGCTCTACCCGCAAGATGCCCTTCTCCGCTGCCCGGGGCATCAACTGCCGTATCTTCCCACCAAGTGTGTCGATATATTCAGCTGGATCTTCGGCCACGTTACTAACGGTGTAGCAGAACAGGCTCAAAGTCGGATGCACAACAAGCATGCTGTCGAGGGTGGCGAAGGACACGGGATCGAAGATTAGTTGGCTGGGCATCCCAAGGTAATCGGTGAACTGCAAAGTGAGTTCCGTGAGCGCGGTCGCACGAGAGAGGAGAGCGATGGAGGAAGACGGGACGCGCTCCTCCCCATCCTCGAAAAACATTCCGATATATAGGTGGACACGGTGCAGACGTGGGAAGTCCACAGGAAAGGTAAGGGTATCCCGTAGAAGCCGATCTGTTTTTTTGCCTTGTTAGCAGAGGAAAGAGGTTATATGATAACCTTACACTGGAAAGACAGATGAAGTGTCTCCAACGTTTGCGCAGCGAAGAAACATATCTCGAGGTGATTTTGAGTTGCTATATTCTGTAGTGTCAGATGGCGGAGGAAGCTGAAATGGCGTGCAAATTCCAAATGAGAGAAAAGGTCAAGAACCATCCAACTCGACGATATGGTGAGTGATGTGGGTGGAGGTGAGTGGGAATTGTCGTTGTCGTTGTCGACGTCGGAACCATTGTGCTCCGATTCCGAATCTGAATCGAGCGAGAGCCGAACGCGAACGCAGCTGAGAGAGTCAGCAGAAACAAGTGCTTTGCGCACAAGTTCTACAGATAAGCCCTCCACATCCATCAACTTGAAGGAGAGACCTTTCAATTTGCGTGTGCGTTCAAGCTGTCGATGACTGGTATATATGTCGAGGAAAGTCTGAATGATACCCGGGTGAACCACCCGTATCCTAGTGGAATTGCCTCTATATATGGCGGAGCCCTGTATGCGCGCCTCCTTCAGCCGTGACAGACACCGGAAGACAGATGCCACAGTTGTATCTCTCATCGCCAGTGCCATCTCTTCATCGTCAAGGTCCACATTGGTGATTAGAATGGTGAGATGCGTGATATATGCGGCGATATGGGGAGAACTGGTGAGGTGCGCAAGAGCATCGGAAGAGCTGCGCCATCCAGATCCGGTAGGTGGCCGTTTCGAAGAACTTGAAGAGACGTAGAGGTTTGTGTGCAGCCGTCTTTGACAGGCCACGAGGAAGACAGACGCAACAAGGCAGAGGGATTTGAGTGTCGCCCTGTCCTCTTTAGCGATGTTGTCGACGATAGAGTCAATGAGTTCTGGTGGAAGATGAATCATAGTGGGAGACTCCAAACTTCAAAGGGCAATGCTCACCGTGACAGATCATTCATTCCCTTCTCTTCTCGACTGCCATGGGTCATCGTCATCACCCCACTTCCATCCACTTCCCTCTCTCCCCCTCCTTTCCCACCGCTCGCTGGACAACATAGTCGTTTTCGGCTGCCTCCTCAGTACGTCTGTCCTGCTGTCCAACCTTTTGGCGTTGCTGACGCGTTTTCGCAGCACATTCTCGAAACAGCTGGTTGTGAATGGAAGGAGTCTGGACTCTGGGGCCCGGGGAGACCGAGCCTGTGCGAGATGACCGCTGGCTAGACTGGAAGAGAGGTGTGTGGCCGTACTTGAAGCGAGACCTGCGGACCTTCTGACCTCGCCAATACCAGCCTTCCACCAAACTTCCCCTCCAAACGGCATTCCATTCCCTCCGCAACGGGCGCTTGGCTCCTTTTACTCGCGCATCAAGTATACACGATGCACCAGCTCATGCCGCTCATATGCAGGGCCTCACCGCCAGGCCTTTCGACGAGGTCGTCGCAAACAACGCTGCCTTCTCCAAAGCAAACACCTATGCCGACCGCAGGATGCTTACCTGCTCCAGGCAGCCGCTCTAGCATCTCTCGTCACATTACCCTGGACGGTTTCCCGCCTATGCAGGTCAACTTACGAGGCGAAACGTCCGCCACCTAACGCAAAGCTAGCTCGCCATGGAGCTTGCCCACAATCATGTCTCCCCCTCCGCGTCCTCATCCCACGTCACCGATGCATCACCCGCCTTCCTTGCCCGCACCCCCTACCACCCTCGTTGTCCATTCGGCCATCGCTCGTTGCCAAAATCGGCCAGGTCACGTGCCACGCCGGACCTCCGGCGCTGACCGCCCTCCATATATCTCGACAACCATGCGGAGTACTGCCATGTGGGGTGTCTCTCGTGTTACCCTACAGGTAACGACACTCATTGCATTCTTCCGGCTCTCGTTGCTCATGTCGTCGTCAGCGCAGACGTGCTTGGGAGAAGGAAGGGTGGTGGGCGGGCCGGGATGGATAGCATCTTGGGCAGGGCGATTGATCGTCGCGGGAGTGGGCTTTTGAAGAGCGGGCAGCGGGCAATCACCTTCCTAATCCTGTGTGGCGACTAGCAAAAGCGATACTTCCCTGGCTCGCGGGTATAGCGAGTGGATCGAATTGGCTCTCTCCTTACTCTCACTACTATTTCTGTTTCTTATCTCCACTCTGCCTTTTGAAAACAATTGCATTTCTCCCCTCCGTCTCTGCTGCATGTATTCTGACTGCACCAACTCGTCTGGCTACCAGCTACTTGTTCCATATATCTTATCAAGCCGCTGCTTTAACAATGTGGAGCTGGATGAAAGTGAGGCGGAGAGTCTTGGAGGTGCTCGAAGGCTCGCGGCCCAGTATACTTATCTACATGTCGTCACGGTCAGCCGCGTTTTGCTCGTTTTCGCCCAGCTTGCTGACCCTTCCATACTGCCAGCGTTGAAAGCGATGTCAACGGCGAGGAAGACACGTGTACGATGCCCTCTAGATCTCACCTTTGATGTTGCGGGTGGTTGCTGATTCCGCGTTGGCCCTTGTAATCGTTCCCGATGCAAGACCCGCGGAGTTTGAGTATCGACAAGTCAAGGTCGCGCGGCATCAGAGATTTGACAATTCTGCAAGTTGGCGGTAGTAGACAAGAACAGAGTACGAAGGACTAAGCAATAATGATACTCTATCGGCGTGTCGAGCGATGATACATATATAGCCCGCGGGGCATTCCCCCGACCTTCGCAGGTGGAGGCCTGAGTGCCCGTCTTGAAAGCGGCCACCAATGAACCCCGAGGCATAAAACGCGCAAGGTTCGTCTCCAGCTCTGTACCCAGCGGCAGAATGTACTTCAGATGTATTGAAGCCGCTGTCCATCTTGTCAAAACGGTCCCCAGACACAAGACGGGCCATAGCGTCGTGCTCGACAGGTGTATTCCCCACGGAGCTCCCCCAAGAGAGCAGCGACATATACGAAAGACGCCAGGCATCTTGCCGCGGTCACGGTCTTTCCAACGGAGAAGACTTAGCACTAATGTGAAACGCGTAGGAAGAGAGAAGCCATGGCGATGTCGGGTGTGGATCGACGAATGAGTGGATGGGGGGAGTATGTCGGGGAAAGGATTCAAGGAGTCGGCATTTGCCCACAACAGTGGTGCCGATAAACCACGGCAAAGGGGCGGCATATACAGCTTGACCAGCGGCAAGAGCACTGCCAGTGGTAAGCGAGGCGCATGTTATGCTGCGTGAAATCGTGGACCCTGCACCTGTACACGGGGTTTTTTTTAAAAAAGCCTTCTCATTACCAGTGTTAATGTTTTTAAAAAATGCCTCTAATTTATGCCCCTGCCAAAAGGCGGGTTTTACATAGGGAAATGAGAGATCAAAAAAAGGTTTAAAAGGTTGAAAAGCCTTGTCAGGGTGGGCAGTGTGGTAGCTATAAGGCCCCAGACCTGACGTGTGGAAAATTCCTTAAGTATGGGGAAAATACTGAGTAGGGGAAAGGCTAAAAAAGAGGAGAAAAATTGTTGATGCCAAGGTGCCAAGAAAGATACAGAGTTTGACAGCGTGGATTTTATTAAAATGAGGGGAAGACTTGTAAATCACTGATGTTTTTTAAAAATGTTAATATTCTAATTACAAGAGATGTTTTTAAAAAAAACCCCGTATACGCCTGCGTGGACCGCATGCTGGTATCTGAGAACGGCATAACATAGAGTCAGGCGGCAGGATACTAACACGCACCATTCTCCATCTGAGTACCCGCGGCTCGTCGAGCACGAGGAACCCTTCCCCGGCCGGCCAAGGAATGTCCCTCGGGCTATAAGGTCAGAGGAAACTAAGTTTGCTGTACTTGACGAAAACGAGGGGCAGCGATTAAGTAGTATAAAGCTACCTCCGCACCCGCCACACATCGCACAATCCCCATATAGATTCCAGAAAGATGCACGACACATGTGGCCTCGCAAACGCGAAGCCCGGCTCGCCAAATTGCTGCCCAACGGACTCAGCCCGCCCGGGGATACAGTCTTCGTCTCGGACTCAAGATAGCACGACCTCGAGGTAGGGAGAAGCCGCGTATGGCGCTAGCGGGAGAGCGACCCGCGTCTATCGAGGAGAGTGGTAGAAGTCGCCGTAGGTAAATACCGGAGCTGGGAGGAATTTGAATGACGATGGGTTTACGCCGATGGTCTTTCTAGGGGACGATTCACGAAACGAGTGAAACGCTCGAAATACGTCCGATGGGTGTGGGGTGGAAGTGATGAGAACAGGTGATGGGTGATGGGGAAGAAGAGAGGGCAAGACTCAGCTACTACCCTCAACACAAACACCAAATACTGACCCATTTCGATCAATTCAGCGGGCCTGTGACCCGTGACCGTTTGGCCGAAATGTCCAATTCGGCCACAGGCCGAATTTCGCGTGACCTATTACCCGATTAGGAAGTTCGGCGCGCCGCAGGCGCCGAAAATTTCGAAATCTTCCCGATTAGGACAGTTTGGGACCAAAAGATTTGGCTGTGACCCGTGACCCGCCGAAATATTTCGGCCAAAAAATCCGATGTGACCGTGACCCGCCTAATTGAATGAAATAGGTCAGTACCCTAACCAGTAGGTAGATCCAATCAAATACAATGCTCCTTCGATTCGTATGATGACGCGCGCAAGTTCGGGGCTCCTATCAAGGTATATGATAGTTGCAATCTGGTCGTAGTCGATACAAGGTGATATAGTGTAGTTGAAGTAAGGTAAAACCAGTCCGCTCAGCGGCAATGGTCGTGTGAATGTAGTCGGTAAGCTGAATAGAGTTCGGACCGGCGGCGTTATCGGGTCCGATGTCAATCGAAAGTCTTGGCGCTTCTCTATACAGTTACCCCGGATCGTCGTAGTCGTAGTCGTAGTCGAGTGCCCTTATCCTATGATAATCAGGCCGTATTCGTGGTTGCCTCAAGGTGGCGAAAGATTGGAGATGGTTTGGTGTGACGATAGCAATTTGATGGAAAATGATATATTTTTTCAGGTTAGTGGCTTAGCATTTACTTGTATGGTAGAGGTCTCTCTGTAGACGGGGGACAGGTCGCCTGCGATTAGGTGCTAGGTCCAGTAGCTCTCCGATGGAGGCATTTACTGTATTACAAACAAACAAACAAACCCTTTGGTAAGCAGGCCGTTGCCGTGTTCTGTTCGAGGTTGGCCTTATCCTTTGATAATCAGCCAGTGACTGCAACCCGGGTAAGGATTCAATGCCTATCTACCAACATATGCGCTAATTTTATAGGTCGCCGACGGGCTTGGCATCAGCCCACAGCCCGCAGCCGTTGCTGGTCCACCGCCCCCGTCTCTGTCACCGCCCCCCGCCCGTTGCCTACACCGCCCGCTCGTCGGTTGCTGCGCACAACTGCGCTCTCCACCACCGCCTTCCCGTTGCTGCTGCGCCTGCTGCGCCCTCCTGCGGTATCCTACTGCGCCTACTGCGGCACCTCCCTCTACTCGACGCGTCTTCGACGCGTTCCTCGACGCGTCACTGTTGCGTGGCGCACTGCCCGTGACCGCGCACATAGCTCGCCACGTGCCAGGCGCGTCATGTCCCCCAATGAAAAATCCTGAGTGTCCTCACTCAGCGTGGCTATGCCGGACCGGTGTTATAAATACCGCCATCCTCTTGGCGTAGATCTCATTCAAATTCCTTGCCATGTCTTATCCCGCTTATTTCGATACTTCCAGCTTCACGGTTGATCCGTGTTTCCACCTGACCGAGATGGTCACCCCTCAATTTCCTGACTTCCACGTCCCCGCTCCTTCCGTTCTTCTCGAGACGTCCACCGGTCCTCACGGGGAGACTGTCTATCCCCGTATCCACGAGCATCCCGCCGCCGTGACTTCCAGCGACGTCTTTCGTGCTATCCGCTGGCGTCCCGCCGTAACTATTTTGCCATTTTTGCTTGAGTTTCTAACCAT